CTAAATAAACACGGTAAAATTGAAATAGTGAAGGCATAATGGGATGATACCGGAAACGTGAATAACCCAGGGCGCAAGGGGAGATGCCACAACTTATTAGCACAAGTTTGGTCAAAGGATCGGCTTCACTTGTCTCTTTGAAGAGTTGTTGTGTGGTGCTAAGAATGGCGATACTCACTGACGATGCCGAGTACGATGTCGGCGAAACGTTTGGGAATCTACCACCTCCAATATTCAACTTTGGAAATGATCATGCAGACAATGGACTCCGGACTAAATGTTTTCCTCTAAGTCTTCCTACCAATATGACCATGTTGCGAAAACAAGGTCAAACAACCTCTATGCAACGAAAGGAGACTGCGACCACACAAAAGGCCACACCATCTTGGTCTTTATACCTTCGATGAATACATTTAGTTTCGAATATGTTAAGATCTTCTTGTTTTAAATTACCTTATGAACATTTAGTGGATATTATTGTTTGACACTGTCCCACACGTTAATCGGTATGACTACGCTCATGGTTTTTCTCCCCATTTCTCAAAAACTGGATAGACCTAAAAATCCCGAAATATGAAATTACGTTTCCAGCAACCATATCTTTGATTTATTCGTGTACTTCTCCTAAATTGTATAGGTGACTTTCATTTCGTATGAAAGTGCATGGAGAAGAGATTCTTTGGTCGATCCTACCTGATGAGGACGGATGAACCTCGTCGCATACGGACTTACGCAGTCTCTGTCAGGGCTTTCTCTTGGGTCATTAGGCCTCGATGATCAGAGCCTGGCATTTGCCTTTTGAAAATTCTGATTTAAGACTGGTAACACGCGCACATATACACACGCATACACTCGAGCAAAAGTAGCAGGATCAGTATGAAAGATAATTAGCCAAATCAATCTATATCTATCTATCTACTTACTTTTTTAATTTTATTTTGGCTTAATTGAGTCTATATAGGTGGTTTGATAGAGCCGGATAGTCTTCTTGCTCTAGCGTTAACGTGAGACTTTTACAGGAATGACACCCAGCTCTAATGATGTCCATCATATGATGGACGAAAGCTCAGCCAGTTTTGACTCGAAACGAGGGAGGAAGTCTTGTGGACTGCGTCAACCTGAATATCATATATAAGCCAGACGGCCGTAGTAAAACGGCACCCATTCGTCCTCATTTGGCGAGATCGAAAAACAAATCTCTTCATACACTTTCATACGAAATAACAGTCCCCCCAACAATATTATCTCTGGAGATTCATCAAAACCCAATTTATCTTCGTATCTTATCCTAAATGCCGAGAAATGATTTCTAGGCGGTTTAAGTCGGTTATCTCATTCACTTCTGACATCAAGTAACAATGCTTCCAAACACGTTACTTCTAATATTACGTTTTCATTTCATATTACTTTCTAGATTGCTCTTCTGCGCGATTTTTAAAATCAGGATTTTTAAATGAGAATGGATATTGACACAGTTTAGTACGATATCAATCTTCTAATATATACCTAAAGATTCTTCGAAAACAAATTTCTATTTCTGTATAAGTAGGTTTATCTTTTGACTGCCTTCTTCTCGCCAGATTTATTACTCTTTCTTTTTTCTGCCTAGGGCATTTTAAGCACTCCAGTCGAATGAAGTCTCAGTTGGTTGGCTCCTTGCGCTATCTTTTAGGATACCACAACAATGCACAAAGTAACAAGAGAACGAGCCACGAAGTGCCTTGTATAGAAAAAGGAAAGTTACGTGAGAGGATTCGATGTGGGAAAAGAAAGACAATGATGGGGTGTGGTGCAAAATGCCAGTGCTCGGTCACAGATGGTAATGCCGGCACCATATGGCAAGGTGTCGCAGTCTAGGGGATTTCCGACTTAAAATACTCTTATGCATTTTTAATACCATGTTCTGATTGGTTAAACGGAGAGGCTCGATGTGGTAGATACGTTTTCTTAGTGCCCGCGAGATACAGTCCAGATGATTCATGTTGTTGCATGAATTGAGAGGTAACCGCGAGAGATGTAGTCAAACCCATTGTGAATTAAACGCCATTACAGTTTACTTGATAGTTTACACTTATCTTGACTTCTTTGTGGTAGCTTATTTACATCCTTGATACGTTATACATTTGTCCTTTGAAACTAGTTGGCACTAATCAAATTATCTCCCATACATCTGTGTATTTCTGTTTTTTAATTACTACAGACCGTTAGATTCTGATTTTTATATTTTTATTTAG